GCGATCCCGTTGCCGGTCCCGGTCCGGTACGGGGGTGACACTGAGGGTTGCGAACCGTTGCTGGACACAGAAAAAGACAAAAAAAAAAAAAAAAGAGAGATGTGTAAAAGGAATTGAGTTGAACCATAGGAAATTGCCAATATTCAATCATTTCGGAACTCCATAACCACAATTTCCCATGGCTCAAACTAATGCTAAAGGAATGTTAAGGATGAAACCACGAATATAAGTTGTGGGAAGGCTGCAGGAGGAGTTCTGGAAAATCATAAAGAAGTCACAGAGTATAAGCAATGTGCTGAGGAACTTAGCAGTCTCATCAGACTAGCAGGTTCTGAAACTGGAGACAGTGCAATAATGAGTTATAGGTGGAAGAGTGGAGTCAAGCGAGTGTAGACTTTCAAGATGTTTGAAAGAGAAGGGGGGAAAACACAGGTTAGTCCTTAGAGGGGAAAACCCAGGGTCAAGAGAGTTTGTTTTCAGAAGGGAGGTGGAGGCACAAGCAGGTCTACAAAGAAAGAATCTCCTGGAGAAAAGCACAATGGGATGATTCACCTGAGAGGGAATGAGATTCCAGAAGGTGGTAGGAAGGGCAGAATTAAGCACAGTTAAAGGAGAAGGGAGCCAGCTTCCTTTGGGGTCAGTAAAGGTAAAAATAGATACAGCTAAGGGTGGGAGAAGTGGGGTGGAGAATGGAGAAGACCTTGTTGAATGGCTCTATGATATGTGCAGGAGGCATGGTCTTTTACAGGAAGCAGTGAGGAAGTTGGGGTTGCAGAGCACGCTTGAGGACAGTGACAAAGCACCGATGTCTCCACTGTGGAGAACAGAACCAGAAATTGGTGATGGGCCGAGAAAAAACAGTTGAGAATGGTGATGGCCCAACCAAGCCTGGAAACTATAACTTCACACTTGTAAGACTTCTCTAAGTGGCACCTGGCAGTCCTCATTCAGAGGTGGAGAGACGTTGTCATCATTGCAGGGGAGGGTGTGTGCTCAGAACTAGAGGCAAGGGAGTTGTGAGTGGCGTCTGTACGGGAAGCCCTGCCTAGGTAGAGAAGGAATTAAGAGGAGGACATAGAATGAGAGAAACAGGAAGAGCTAAGGGTCTTGGTTTTGCTACAGTCTGAGAGTGCTTTAGGGGCAGTGGAGGGGTGGATGTTTCCAAGTGGGTTGCTGAGGTGGATGGAGCAGAGAGAAGGTCTTCAAGGGAAAGGAGAACTGCAGGTCCGATGGAGCATTCCATGGGGCTGAATGTGGACCAGGTGACGTCTCTGATCTTCACTTCAGTCTTACGTTCTTATAACACCTTGAAAACTAAACCACTGATTCATTTGCTTTTGGAGCACAGTTCTTTTTACCCCCTTTTCCAGGATCTAATATGATATTCTTTACAGAGATGTTTATGGATGAACTAAAACTCATATATTTGTTACCAAATAGGGTGTGATGGGGAGTCATTTTCTTTGGTTTCGTTCCATCCATCTGGAGAGACAAGGAAGGCTTTTTACGGTACTTCAAAGGCAGCAGAAAATTCCAATTCTGACTTCAAACCCCTTTTATTTTTTTTTTTTTTTTATTTTGTCAATATACACTGTATATGATTATTATGGCCCGTCACCGACACCTCCCTCCCTCCTCCCTCTCTCCCCTCCCCCCCAAGAATGTCCTTTCCGTTTGCTTGTTGTAACAACTTCATGGAAGTATAGTTGTTATATCTTCTTCCCCACCCCACCCCCCTCCGTCAAACCCCTTTTAAATAGAAAACTTAAAGATCACAGTAGAAATCAGAGCTCACAGACCCCCCACACGTGGCTGCCTGCACTGCTCCAGGGTGATGGGATTCAGATGGTTTGGACAGCAGAGTCCCCCTGTCAGTGTTTTGCCCAGAAAGATGGCTGTTTGGTCTTCTCGAAGCTCTCATACAAAGCATGAGCTCTCCAATGACTGAAATTTTAGTCGTGTCGCAAATGGGAAGAAATGTGTGATATGTTAAATAATGAAGACATGGGTCTGTAATACAGGTCACTTCTTTCTTAATTACCTTTTCCCAGGAAATCCCCAGTTAGAAATCCTGATCTTTTGAATAATATTGATCCAACACTCTTGCTTCTCAATTCCGTGGCCTCCTCAGCCACTCGGTGCCATGACCACATCCTAGACCTTGTTCATCATTGCCCACAAACTCCAAGATCTCTACATCACATATCTGACTTTCTGACAACCATCTTCTAACTTTCTAGGTGACTTACTCTGTAAGTAATTGGCCTCATAGAAACCTCCGATCCATGTTCTCACTGCCTACCACCCACCTCGCTGCCCTTCTTACCCGGTTAGGGTTCCATGGTTCTCCAGTGTAGACACTTCCCTGTGCCTTCTCTTTCATCGCACTGTCCAAGCAAAACTTCATGCTGGTAAACTCACTTCTCAACCTACTCCATGCAGTGCAGCTGAACATAGCTGGAGAAAATACTCGTCTCTCCTGAGTGGTCTTAATTTAACTTTCAGAACCCAAATCTCAAGTGGCCTCTTTAGTCGACCCTAGTAAATTTGCCCTCCCTCTGTTCAAGATGACTGTCTTATTGCTGTCATTATTCTCCTCGCCTCTAAGACACTTCCCTCTTCTTCAGTCTCAGCTGATGCTATCTCTTCTAATTTCATGGCAAGAACTGCAACAACCAGAGGACAACCACCTCACCCTCCTTCCACCAAATCCACCAGCCAGCCTTCATCCTAACCCAAAGCTGTGCCTTCCCTACAACCCCTGGATGTCCCTGCTGTCATCTAGGGCTGATCTCTCCACATGTGCATGGGGCCCCACCCCTTCTCTTACTCCAGGGCTAATTCCTGCTGTTGTCCCCTCTCTGCCGTCCTTCTCTGTATCCTTTCTGTCAGCGTCTGTGCATGCTGTGTTACCTCCTGTATTAGTCAGGGTTCTCCAGAGAGACTGAATCAATAGGATATGTTATAAATACACGAGAGGAGATTTATTAGGGACATTGGCTCACATGATTTGAAGAAAAGTCCCATGATAAGCCGTCTGCAAACTGGATGCTGATAGTGTGGCTTAGTCCAAGTCCAAAGGCCTCAAAGCCAGGGAAGCTGATGGTGTCCTTGGTGTAAGTCCTGGAACCCAAAAGCTGAAGAGTCTCAGAAGGCCTCAAAGCCAGGGAAGCTGATGATGTCCTTGGTGTAAGTCCTGGAACCCAAAAGCTGAAGAGTCTCAAGCTCTGATGTCCACGGACAGGAAGGAAGAGTGTATCCCATCTCCAGCAGGATAGAGACAGAACTTCACGTTTTTCCTCTGTCTTTTGTTCTCTCTGGGCCCCCAGCCAATTGGATGGTTTCTGCCCATATTGAGAGAGGGTCTTTCCACCCAGTCCACTCAGGCTATCATGTTAATCTCTGCTGGAAACACCCTCCTTAATTAAGATTCCTTAAACTTAATTAAGATTCCTTAATCTAATCAAAGTGACACCTAGAATTAACCTTCACACCTCCCAACATTAAAAATATTTTCCCATGACCCCACATCCCCCTTCAGCCATTACCTCATCTCTCAGCTCCCCTTCACTGCCCACCCTCCAAAGGATTGCTGCCCTGCCTGCCTCCTCACCCCACACCTGCCCCCATTCTCTCTCATACCTATCCTAATGAGGCCTTTGTCCCCACCACTCCACAGGCTGCTCTTCTCAAGGTCATTGACAACCTTCATCTTGCAAATCCACTGGTCAGTTTTGTGTCCTCAACTCATGCTGATCACCCCCTCTTCCTGGAAATGCTTTCTTCATGTGGCTTCCAGAACACCACGTTCTTCTACTTTCCCTTCTACCTCATGAGCAACTCTTTCCTCTACTTCCCCAGTTTCCCCGTCTCCTCCAAATTCCTAGTTGTTGGAGAAAGTCTTCTACTCTCTTCTTTTTGTTATCTACATTTTCTTTCTAGGTGATCTCACTCAGTTGCATTAAATACTTTCAACATGCTTATGTCCCTCAAATCTCTATCTCCAGCCCTAATTTCTTCCCAAGGTCAGGTTCATTTAACCAAATTCATTCTCAATATCTCTCCTGAATGGCTTAGAAGCATCTCAAAATTTATATGTCCAAAAAGTGATTCTTGCTTTCTTCTCCCCCAACATTGTTCTTCCCCCAAGTCTTTCCTTTCTTAAAAATAATTTCACCATTTTCCAAGTTGTTCAGGTCAAAATTCAAGGACCCATTTTTGAGGCCTCTCTTTTTTTCACATTCCATCCCAAGTTCTATTGTCCCTACTTCTATATTACATCCTTTATCAGCCACTTTTCACCCTACATCCTAGTCCCTGTGCCATCATCTCTTTCCTTGACCAAGAGATACCTTTCTAACTAGTCTTCCTGCTTCCACTCTTGTACTTCATGTAACAGGCGGAGTGGTCTTTTAAAAATGAAAATAATTTAGGCCCAAGAATGGTAGTCAAAAAAATAAAAATGAAAATGAAAATCAGATAATTTGTCTGCCTGAAACACACCCAATGCTTCCCATAATACTTGAAATAAAATACAAATTCCTTACTATGACCTACAAGGTCTGCTGCATATTCTAGCCCTGACTGTGTCTTGGACTTTAAGCCTGACCATCTTCCCCCTTGCTCACTCAGTTCCAACCACACTGGGTTCCTGCGTGCTCTCCCAAACCCCCAGTGCACTCGTGTTGAGGAGCTTGCTGCTCCATCTCAGAAAGGCTCTTCCCCCAGAGCTTGTCTCCCACTTTCACATTACCTACGCAATGTGACCCTCCTCTCTGCATAGCCAGTCCCCAGCTCTGTCATTGTTCTTTATTCCTGTACCAGATTATTTTCTCCCTAGCACTCATCACTGTCTTAAATTATGTTATCGGCTTGTACATTAAAGCTTTCCATTTCTGTCTCCCCCATTAGAATGTAAGGGACACATGGGCAGCACCATTGTCAGCCTTGTCTGTTATTGTATCCCTGGTACCTGAGGGGTACCTGGTGCATGATAGGTGCTCAATAAATATTTATTGAATGAATGAACAAATGTGCACAGTTCACATATACAGAGTCTTCACACCTTCCACAATATTCCCATTTGATGCTTACAGCAACGCTAAAAGGAAGATAGGAATTTCCAATGAAATCTCCATTTTACAGATGAGGAAATGAGGCCCAGATAGACTATATGACTTACCCGAGGTCACGTGGCTTATAGCTGTAGAAGTTGTTATGACACAAAGCTGGGTTCTGACTCCTGATCCTTCTGCCACTCAACAGATTTCCTCCAGCCCTCTGCCCGTGGGGCCCACTCATCGCTGGCTCGGTGTCAGTGGCAGTATTGGAGGTGAGACAGGTCTGATGAGCTGTGTGCTCCCTGATGAACTTCTTGTGCAGATCCTGGCTGAACGGATACAGGTACGTCCATGCCTACCCATACGGGGCTGTGGGCTCATCACTCACACACTGTCGCATGCCATAAGCTGAGATTCTAGGCCACTGGCCAGCCACAGCATCTCAGAACACAGGGCCCTTGAAGAGGAAAGATGGGGTTCTTCTCTCCAACAGTTATTTACTTGTCCTTTTGACAGCTCTTGTCAGTCTCTGACCCTAGCCTGGTCTGCACCCTACAGCCACTCACCTTCTTAGATAACCAACACAGAACAGTACACATAAAAAATAAAAAAGCAAAACAAAAAAGAATGGTGTGGTAAGAATTATAATTATAATGTGGAGCCATTAAAAGTTAGAATTTGGAAAAAAGGTAGGAGCACACCCAAGGACCCAGAGCATGCCACAAACACCACTTGCACACAGGTGGTCCACCACAGCCACTGCTCTCCACCACAGTAGCAGCTATGGCCACCATGCAGACATTTCACCTCCCACTCAACTGCATTGACACAAGGAGAGTCACCAGAAGAGTCTGGAAAAAGAGGGGGAAGTCTCTTTCCTCAAAGCCCACTCCAAAGAACTAGAAGAAGCAACTGTTATACCAGCTGACCAGACCTCAATGTAGAGATACAAGAAAGAAAGAAAGAGAGAAAGAGAGAAGGAAGGAAGGGAGGGAGGGAGGGAGGGAGGGAGGAAGGAAAGAAGGAAGGAAGGAAGGAAGGAAGGAAGGAAGGAAGGAAGGAANCTGTTTCAAGCCCCAGCCACTTCAAGGTTGACCCTGGTGAGCACACAGAGCAAGAGCTGACAAAAGCCACTGCTTTTCCCTTCATATGAAGTTGCTTGGAGGCTGTAGTGGAGAAAAGGGCCTTGGTGGCCCCCAGGCCATCAAGACCACTGACTGGGTTCCCATGGACCCACGTAGGAATGAGGGGCCACAGACAATGGGAAAAAGGAGCCACCCAGAGGCGGTGAGCCATCACAAAGGACTTGCTCGTAGCCCATCCCATGGGAAATGTTTGGAGTCCAGGCAGTGGGGGAGATGGGCCCACTGGGGGAACAATGGGGCACAGCATGGACAGCTGATCTGCCCCCCAGTCAGCACAGGATCACTCAGTGGAGACTTGTCAGAAGTATAGATCTGCAGGGAGTGCAGTTCGCTGAAAAGACTCAGGCCTAGACCAGAATTTCCACACAACCCAGGTGTAACAGACCTCACAAGACCCTAAAGGCCAACAATTAAAGTTCCTGAAAGGCCAACAATTAAAATCTGAGCTGCACAAAAAGCCTTCCCCACAGAATCAGCAGCAAAGCAGCAATTTAACTCAACCACAGGGCTCAAGTGCTGGTCCCCACAGGAAGTTCCCCCATTTTAGAAGTAAGCAAAGGACAACAAATTAGTTCCAGTGCAGAGTATAAGTGGTGGGAGTAGCTAATAATCCAACACAAAAATGAAAGAAAACACAAAAAACCCACAGATCAGAGACAAAGTTCTGATATTAACCAGTAAAGTTCTAACATCACCAAAAAACACCTTTAAAACCTAGAAGGACTCGGGCCAGCCTGGTGGCGCACTGGAGAGTGCACTGCTTGGGAGCACAGCAGCGCTCCCACTGAGGGTTCGGATCCCATGTGGAGACCGGTTCCCACTCACTGGCTGAGCACGGTGCGGGAGCAACACCAAGGGTTGCGATACCGTTGCCGGTCCCCGGTCCGGGTGCGACACCGAGGGTTGCGATCCCGTTACTGGTCAGTTAAAAAGGAAAAAAGGAAAAAAAAAAAAACCTAGAAGGACTGGAAGCCCCCTGGGCTCCCAAGCTGGGGTGTCAGGGGCCAAGGGTCTCAGCCATGTTACCCCAGTGTCTGCATCCAGCCCAGAAACCACCACTAGGCTGCCACCAGAGGTGCCCTGGGCTCCCAAACCAGAGTGGTAGGGGGCTGAGGGCCCCAGCCATGCCTTCCTAACATCCACGTCCAGCCCAGAGACAACAACCGAGCCACTACTAGAAGCTCCCTGGGCTCCAGAGCCAGGGGTTGGATGCTTAGGGCCTCAGCCACACCCCACCAACGTCTACATCCAGGCTCCAAGCCACCACCAGAAGCCCCCTGCCAGAATGAGGGGGGATGCCACAGGCCTCCACCACGCCTCCCCCTCCTTCCTCCTCCTCACATCCTATCTCTCCCTTCCCCCAACTGCTCCACAGCATCTTAGAATGCAAAAAACTAATAATAATAAATAAATGAATTTTTTTTTTTAAGATTTTTTAAAAAATCTCTTTGATCCCCCTGTAAATACAAAGTGGCTACTAAGCTTGTTAGTTTTGTTTATTTTTATTGATAAAATTTAAAATATTATTGTAACTTATTTGGATAAAGGTCTTCCCAAGAAATATGATGAGGTGGTATCTGGGTTATATTTCTAAGTGAGAGATTATGAATATAAAAATACATGTCTCACTTCCTTTGTGAATGAGAGAGTGGAAATAAATACACTTAAATGATTGAAGTTTGCAAATCGAGACTGAATCATGCATAGCTGTGGACATGGACTGTGTGTGGTAACAAACAGCCTAGGGATGAAAGATTTGCCATCCTTGAACAGAACAAAGGTCTAATAAAAGCCAAATCCAGGAATATTTATTGAACTATGTACAGGCCCTTAAGGTACATATTTTGTGAGGGAAGTAGTAATGTGTAGATACAGATTCTGAAGCCTTTAAATATCTCATAATGAATTGTTTAAGCATTGAACTGGGTTACCAGGTGACTCTAGGGGACCAAAAACAAAAACTTTTGTGTACCTTCAACAATAGACCTTTGACACACACCAGTACACCACTGACTTGGTTTCAGAGTAAATTTTGCAAAATAGCAGTCATGTAATTTACAAGTGTCATCTTTTAAACTGTATGAAAATTGAACACTTTTCTAAAGAAACAAATCTAGATTTGGTGGTGGGGTGTCGGGGAAGTCTTGCTACAAATTAAAAAGAAAAAGAAAAAAGCCAGCTGAACTAAACAGTGTGTTTAGTGATATTTATGTTCTGACACAAGCGTCTTGTCTCATCAAAAACTGGTAATGATCAGTGGCCGATCTGTGGGCCGCACTTTGAGTAACGCTGCAGTGCAGCAGAGCCTGTTTTTCCATGGTCAGTTTTACCAATGATATTTATGTTCTGACACAAGCGTCTTGTCTCATCAAAAACTGGTAATGATCAGTGGCCGGTCTCTGGGCCGCACTTTGAGTAACGCTGCAGTGCAGCAGAGCCTGTTTTTCCATGGTCAGTTTTACCAAAGTCATGAAAACTTCTAACCTGCGCTATCTGCTTTTGTAAACGGGCTTGCTCTAACTTAACAACAGTGAAGCCATCTGACTAGATAACTGTGTATCAAAATCTTTGTTCAAAAATATCTCAACTTCTGATCAAGACGGCAGAAGAGACAGTAACCAGTGTCACTCTCTCCCACAATCAACCAATTTATAACTATTAAAAAGCAACAACAGCCAAGCTGGGGTCACTAGAGCTCAGGGGAAGAGGAG